AGAGAACGTGTGTTCGACTTACGAGACGGTGTAGGCACCACCGGCAACGGTCTTCTTGCAGCCCTTGCACTCCCAGATACCAACAGCCTGGCGCTTGACGGTGTTCTTTCCGCAGAAGGTGCAGACGTAGCGGGCGTGCTGGGTGATTTCCATCTTCTTCACCTGCTTACGCAGGGAGGCACCGTATCTGTAATGAACAAGCCATGTCAACCAACCATTCTAACTCTCCAGAATCCGATATTCCGCGCTTTCGATTCCGGTTTCGATGGAGCAGAGCGAATTGCAGACGACTTCAGATCGATTTTTCGAGGTGCGAGGGCGAAAAGCATACCTGGTACCATATTTACCCGTGATACCGACCTCTAAAAGTATGCAGTCAGTATTTCTATCCTTTTCACATTCTTTCTCCGTTGTTATCTCGATCGAAATCACTCACTCTTAGTGCGCTTCGTCATCTTGTCTCGTGTGCGGCTGTTGAGGTCAAAGATGGATACAGTGCGGTAAGACGAAATCGAGGCTGCGGCTTTCTTGAGGGACTGGTTGTGGGTGGGCTCGCTTAGGGTTCGAATCTTGGCGAATTTCGATCACGTGATACTAGCTGCTTTCTGACGTATGATCCCTAAGTGCATTAAAGAAACTAAAGGGTCGATAAGTGATACAGAACTAAATGGATTTCTCTCTAAAATCCGTCCATTTAATTATCTCGATTCCAGCAGATTGCATCCTATACTCGACCATTATTTGAGAAAGCTAGGGCGCAGGCATTTCTACTACTGAAGGTCTGCGGAGTAGTGCAACCCAAGAAGAACCAGGTTCTTACACGATCGCCGTGACTAACGAAGGAGTCATGGTCTTGGGGCTAGTTACATATGGATAATCTGGCTAGAGTCTGTCCTGTCGTCAAACTGATCACAATTATAATTATTATTATGGTACTATCGCTCTATATCTGGTCTCCACAAGGAGTTCATTTCTTTGAAAGGAATCTTATCGTCACATGATATTCGATAAGTCCTTTCTACTTGCGGTTAGCCCGCAGGACCGAGGTATGACGATAACAAATGGGTACGCGCGGATGTCCCATGTGTTGATGATTAAGGACGTATTCAAGGTCGATGCCTGGGAATTGTCATCTATATCCCTTGGACGTCTTTATAGTTGTATCTCCTTGATGTCACATAGTCAAGCTTCTTGAGTTTTCAGTCCATAGTACATTATCGTCAAGATTCGACAGCCCTCGTATAATAACAGATATGGAATCCGAAAAGGAGTTCGACTTGGTTCTTGTTGGTCCTACGGGTTACACTGGGAGACTTTGCGCAGAGCATATTGTCAAGAACTTGCCGACGAACCTGAAATGGGCTCTAGCAGGTCGCTCTGTGCAGAAGATTGAGGACATCGCAAAGGAGCTCAGGACTCTCAACCCTGACCGCACCGCGCCAGGTAACTGAAGACCAGAGCATCGAACGAAGTCATCGCTGACGCACCTTCAGAGATTCTCGCTGTACAGCTAAATCGGAAAGAACTGGACCCTCTTGTCCAGAGGACCAATGTCATCATCAATTGCGTTGGCCCATACCACCTGTACAGCACTCCTGTTGTTGAAGCGTGCGCCAATCATGGAACTCATTATGTGGACGCGTGAGTGTTACTGCAATGTTATTTGAGAGAGTGCGTGGACGAGAACTAAGATGCCCGTTGCGCAGCACTGGAGAAACACCCTGGGTTAGGGAAATAATTCAAAAGTATCACGATGTTGCGAAGTCTAACGGAGCGATCGTCAGTTACACCTTACTTGCGAAGCACTGCGACTTGTTCTGACTCTATTCTAGATTATCCCATCTGTCGGTGTTGAAAGCGCCCCAGCAGACATCCTAGCTTGGTCTGTTGTTAAACGAGTTCGGGAGAATCTCTCCTGCGACACAAGAGAGGTGACTGGTGCAATTGAGGAGATGAAGTATGCGCACCCTCACCTGCATGCAATTGGATTGATCTCCTAACGACCCTATGTAGGAGCTCCGGACCAAGCGGTGGCACCCTGAATACGGTGCTCACAATCTTCGACTCCCTTTCCTTCTCCGACATCCTCAAATCTACGGACCCCTTCGCTTTGGCCGCCTCCGCCCCCCCCAAGAATGTCCCCAGCGAGCCACTAGTAGACAAGATCCTAGGAGTTAGGTCCGTTCGGGACTTGGGTACTCTCAGTACATCGCCATCGGCTATTGCAGACATCACCATCGTGCACCGCAGCAGTACCCTGATGCCGGAATTCTACGGCCCACGCTTCTATTTCCGGCAATTTGTCAAAGTTAGAAATGCGCTTGTCGGCGTGCTCTTTCATTATGCCTTCATCATCGGCTTGTGTCTTCTGATACTCCCTCCCGTTCGCGCGCTGGTGCGGAAGGTCGTCTACGCCGCAGGTCAGGGCCCACGCAAGGAAGATTCAGTCAATGACCGCGTCGAGTACCGTGCAGTAGCGACGGCTGATCAAAAGACGGCCGCACCGCAGCGTGTCTTCGGCAAATTCAAGTATGAAGGGTCAATGTATGCACTGACTGGTTTGCTGCTTGCCGAGGCAGCAATGGTCATCTTGGAGGAGACGGAGCGAGTGAAAAAGGTGTCCCGATGCGGCATAGTAACGCCAGCAACATTGGGACAACCGTTTGTTGACCGGTTAGAGAAAGTTGGATGCCATGTTGAGACTCAGGTCTTTGACTACTGACGCCTCCACCGTTTTTGATGCCTTGCTTGCCCGCTGTCCCTAATGAAGGATGTTTTGTCTATTGATGTTACGCCCATCATGTTAATGAAACGCCAGACTTATGTAGATCAATTACGCACAGTTTTCGATAGTGGGTTGAGATCCAAGTTTGACCACAATACTCATTTGAACAAGCTAATGACCTTGGCTATGTAAGCACCGCAACCCAAACAGTAAACCCAGACGCCTCTCATGTTATGATCGAAGTATCACACATATACTATTATATACAATCCTGTAAATAGCAATTTTTATGCAACCTTCACAACTTGAACAAACGGGGATCGGTGAATACCACTTCCTCCAGCCACCAAGCAATCATCTCGTTCACCTCCTTGGGCTTCTCCCACAGAGCCCAGTGAGATGTATTGACCTGTTTGTAGGTCAAGTGAGGGATTGTCTTCGTCATACCTTTGCCCAGGTGTGCCGGAAGGGCGGCGTCTCTGAGTGCTTGAATGAAGAGGACTGGGGCTGTGATACGCCGGTCAAGGATGGCTAGTTCTTCTTTGTGGTTCACTTCTCGCGTCCGGTACCAGTTCACTGTAGTCTCGTTAGCAATCTGCCCTGGTGTTGCTCGAGATACCCGAGCAAGGAGATATGTGGCGCCTTACATGGACCGTGAATGCCAGTTCGCGAGAACTCTTTGGCATAATAGTCGAGTTCCTGAGGTTCCGGCTATCAGTACCTTAAAAGCAGCAATAGAGGGCGATTCAGAAAACAGGAGGAAAACCGACCTCTTCACTGAGCAGCCTCGACGGTTGCACCTCGAACATTTTGTCCAGGAGTATCCCCAAGCCCGCGTCAAAGGCTACTTCTCCCTTTTCAGTACGACCGCCGTACAATGCGCTGAGGAATTTCTTGATATCATCTTCTGTCCGGATGACTGGTTCCAAGCCCCCGCTTTTCAGCTGCAACTGATAGGCAAAATGCGGCGCAACCGTTGCTACAAAATCCTCCAGAGGATAGTACTTCTTAGTTGGGGGGCTATACGGTACGCAGACCGTGAACAGATGAGTAACGAGGTCTGGATACCAGAGGGCAAGTCGGTATGCAAATGCAGCGCCCCTGTGAAATATGGTCAGTCATAAGCGCTCTCAAAATGTAAAGACTGAAGTCAGGAGGATGATACCAGTCATGTCCTCCTACGATGATCTTGTCGGCGCCAAGTTGTGATGCTAGCTCCTTGATGTCATCGGCGCACTGCTTGTGAGAGTATAGCGAAATGTCCTCTGGAGCATCCTAGACCACGTAGTCAGCACATATAAATATGGGAACGAGATAGATCATTGTATCAAATCCATACTGTTCGACCATATCCCAAACAATCTGGAGCAATAACCCGCAGTCCCATATCGATCAGCATGGGGATTTGGTACCGCCATCCCATCGATAGATCTGGGAAGCCATGGAGCTAAAAAAGAGTAAGTTACACGCTCAAGCGTATGTAGGTGAGTTAGAGCTGACTGACAAGGAAGATGGTAGCTCTGTATGTGCTTGTTTTTGGCTCGCTATAAAGGTAGCCTAAAGATATATAGTTAGTGGACGGTCAAGATATGATTGAGATGGTGCTTCCAGCATAATCTGTCTGACACCACAGCGCTTCTGGTCTCATGCCAAAAAAAAAGGTGCACACGTGCTGAAGTGACAAGATGCATACCGTATTGCTTGCCATTCACCCTTGCTTGACGGAATTGGACCCGAGGGTCGCCGGTGACCCTGATCTTATCAACAATCATGATTGCAACGCGGACCAGACAGTTTCAGATGTCCAAATTTTCGTTTATGCGAACGCGCCCTTGCAGGATAAACAGAGAATAACCTGGAGACGAGGTTCTACCGACTGTTGCTTTTATTTATGTACAACGAAGCTATGGATCCCCGCCAGTTGTCTCGTCACGTGCGTTTCGAAACTGCCGAAACGTATTGGACGCCTGGACAGAGATGGCAAGGCTACAAATAAGAATGGAGAAAGTACCTGAAGTACGAAGTACGGAAACCTCAACGGGATCAAGGGATTCCCGATATCATTACTGTCGTGTCCAGGAGGAGAGTCGGTGTGTCCATGAATGCTGTTGCCAAGTCCAGCTCTTGCCGCCGAATTGCCTCGGTTGGAGTTACTGCTGCCTTTCCCCACAAATGCTTGCGGCTGCTATGATCACTAATATGAGGAGTTATTAGGAAGAGTATGGTAAATGGTAGAGCCTAGATATTCAAGAAGATAAAAAGGCCTAATACGACATTAATAGATCACCGTATCCTCGTTGTCCTCGACCACCTCTCCCCCATCGTCATCAGCTGCCCGATGGTCATCTGAACCGGTGTGGTTGACTGATGCCGGGACGTCGTTGACAGTTTCGGGTACAGCAGCTTCAATATTCTGGCCTTGATTCGTCTCAGCGCTGGCCTTGTCTGAGCTTTCCTCGGTCGTATCTTTGGGCTCTTGGACATCGACGTCGGGCTGCGGAGCTTCTTGTTGATTACCAGCTCGGATCTCTGTTTCCTCCTTTGACTCACTCTCCTCCTGAGGAGGACGACGTGCTTCGAATTCAGCGCGCTCCCGGGAGATGGTAGCTTCTGCTTCCTCAATCTGGTGGCGTATTAAGTCCTCATCCTCGGGCCGTAATTGCCATGGCTTGTAGTACTGCAATGAAAAGAAGGGTTAGATCAATCACGATACCGGAGCCGCAACATTTGGAAATCCTATAACATACCAGCACTGGCTCCGATTTCGTCTTTAAGAAATGTGCCATTGCCAACAAATTTGAGTGCCGGGTTCGCATCTATAAACATCGACCATAAGCTCGGAAGCTCGTAACCTGAGAGCAGCGGGCACTTACCGATTCCTCTTCGTAGTATCTCTGTTGCTTCTTTCTAAGTGCGACTTGCTCCTCCCTCTTCTTCTTTTTCAACTCATCGTACTCTTCGTCTTGAAGTTTCAATTTATCTTGTTGCTTCCGTTCAATGTCTGCTCGCCGCTTCTCAGCTGCTGTACTGGACCTCTGCGAAAGCGTCCCGAGTAGTGCTCCGAATAGTCGTTGTCCGCGCTTGCGCTCCTCATCGCGACCATTTGCTTGCCGACTGGCCCTTCGGTCCGGCCTCTGCTCTGCTGTATCTGAAAACGAAGGCTTGCGATCCGATGCTGGATGATCATTCTCCTCTTGGGTACTTAATCGGCGACGCTTGCTATCTGGATCCGGGTCTGTAGTAGATGAATTTCTTCGCTTGAGGCCGGCATCTGGAGATGGAGCCAGGATGTCCTGCTCAGGCACTGCGACTGCAGAAGCAAGTGTTCTAAGCAATCGTCAATCTTAGTTAGCGCAAGAAACGTGCACAAAACATTGTAGAAGATGTCGTACCCTTCTGCCATATTTGGGACTGCGAACTATGACACGATCTCTGGATAGTCGCAGCGAATACTAGAGAACAGCTTCAAGACGTCTCGTAATGTCAAATGAATTCACAAGCGACTGCGCTTGGATCATCCACTGTCTCGCCGAAAACCCCCAAAATGAAAACGGCCGGTATCGTAAGTCCAGTCGCGATATCAATGGCGGGACTCCGACTTCCCGTGCACGGACCATTTGCCCGATCTGCTGCACCAAAAGGCGTTCCGTGGAATCTTCTGTCTTCTCCTTCCAACGCCTTCTATCAGTTCTCTCTTGATTGATAAACTACCAGTTCCCTCCTGGCCACCTTAAATCTACGCCCAGAACCCAAAGCTCAGAAGTCTTACCGATAGTATCTTTCTCGCTTAAATTAGTGGCGATATTCAGCAAATCTATATCTTTAAGCCATTTTTCACATACCCCCCCCGTTCAATACATCGCCGACGTCGCAAGCTCAGCAGCCATGTCTCGCCATCACCCAGATCTCGTTATGTGCCGCAAGCAGCCTGGTATTTCCATCGGCCGACTTTGTGACAAGTGCGACGGCAAGTGCCCCGTGTGCGATTCCTACGTGCGACCTACGACGCTTGTCCGGATCTGTGATGAATGCTCCTTCGGCAACTACCAGAACAAGTGTGTTGTCTGCGGTGGTGAGGGTATCAGTGATGCCTTCTATTGTTTCGAGTGTACAAGATTAGAGAAGGATCGAGACGGATGTCCCAAGATCATCAACCTGGGAAGTTCGAGGACAGATTTATTCTACCAAAAGAAAAGTTTTCGAAATCATTGATGTTGCGACATGCCTTTCCTCGTTCGCATGCCCCGATCGCGGTGCATTTCGGTGTATGGCAAAGCATCTTCTACACGACGCTTAAATTTCTCGCACCTTCCGCAAAATATGTCGGCTTCCGGGCGATTTTCATACTTGAGAGCTTAGAAAGGGTGGACATATTTGACAGTGACATCGGGGGATATCTAAATATTCTAAGAAGGTGCCCGGAAGAGCCCTACAGCCAATTCTACCTTCCAGGCCGCTTTGGTCTGGCGAATCCTCGTCTCAGCCCATCATTCTGTTGGGGCTGGACCTCCTCCTGCAACCTGTCTCCTGAGATCTCGTCAGGAGAAGATGCCTCGATCTGCATGTCGCATCGTTAGATGGTAAAAAATCAATCATGTGGTTGTCACGCAAAGCATACCTTCTTGGAAATCTTCAGCCCCTGTTCGTCAGCTACACGAAGAGCATACATCCGAGAGCTTGCGTAAAGCATGCGCTCCTTGATCGACGAGCCCGACGGGCAGGTATAAATGAAGAAAACGGTATCGGTTTCAGGATAGTGGTAGAAAGTGTACCGAGGCGAGGACGGAGAGATGTGCGTCTGGACGGAGTTCGCGTCAATACCAGACTCCGCAGCAGCGAGCTTGAACGTTTCCGCGGGGATGTCAATGGCCTGTATTTCGCAGAGCTTGTAGTTAGCAATCAATGACAGATAAAAAGATTTTAAGTTTCCGAACTCAGCCCCAAACTCTGGAGAACGTACCAGTTGCACCAGCCCACCATCCTGTAGTCCTTCAAGAGCAGCCTTCACATCATCGTCCACGGTCATCCGCATCCCAGACTGCACACCAGCCCCAAAACCACCTCTCGCGAACGATCCACCAATGCCGATATCCCTACCAGGAGTACCGCTTCTAGCCTCCTCCTCCGCCCTCCGCACAGCCTCCAGCTCACGCTCCTTGTCCCCCATCAAATCCTCCCTTCTGAAGTCTCCCTTGCCTCCAGCTCCCTTCTTCTCCGCATCTCTCTCGCGCCACGCATCCTCGCTGGTGACTTCTTCCTCCTCCGTCGCAAAAATGGTAGTCGCAAACTTCTCGCTGCCTAGCTCTCGCACCAGCGTGGCACGGGTCGAGGCGAAGAGCGTCTTGGCGCGGACGGGGGCATTCGAGGGAATGTATGTCAGCGCGCAGAGGGATGAGGAACCCGTCTCAGGGCGACGGAAGAGCAGATAGAGGGGAGTTTTTGGCTGTAGCACGGACGAGAGCTGCGAGAGGGAGGGGTAGAATGCGCCGGGGGAGGAGAAGCGGATAGGGGAGAGGGGGGTCAGGCTCTCTGCTGTGATGGTTACAGGGAGACAGAAGATGGAGGAGTCCGAGGAGAAATCGTTGAATGCATTATGCAGCTCGGACGAGACTGAGATGTAGGTCAGCGTTTCTCTACTTTGTGATCGGGATTGACCATGCAGTGTGCAGTATGCAGTGCAGACCGGCGGACCGAGGGGTTCGGCTCTGGATGAAGTGTGCTTACCTGCAATTCCTGACTGCATCTTGAGTGGATGCAGTTGCGGTCTGGTATCTCAAGAATATATGACCTATCAACTGCTTTCGTGTGATATCCTCAATGTTTAGGAAGTGTTTACAGCTGGCAGAAGCGGTGTAGTTGGAGGAGGTGTTTAGCGGGGTAATCCCGATTGCCCAAAGTGGCTAGAGGGAGGGAATTGCAAGTGGTCTGTTCTCCGAGGCATTTTGAACAAATCGTAGATATGTCTCTAGTTGCTTCTTCATTGGCATCTAGCCATCTGCGCGACAGACATCATCTGTTACCTTTCAGATTTTTGATTCTATATTCAAGATGTCAAAGAAATTGGTATACTAACAGGTGGCGAGACCAAAAGACAAAGAAAAGAAATGTTATATACAAGTCAACTGTGCTGTTTTCAAATCGACAGGCCTCACCCATAACCAAAGCCCAGAGTGCGAGTGCCATCATCAATTCGAAGCTAATAACCCAGAAAAATAATGCAGTGAGATCGCAATGCAATCGAAAACGCCACGATGCTCATGGTATCAAATGCTTTCGAAAACACGCAACGGCCGTTCTCCTCAACCTCGATTGGAGACAACCGTACTTATTCCTCATATTTGCCACCCACGAAGGCCCAGTTTGACTCTTCGAGTTTGCCCTTGAGGAACTCGTATACCGTGAAAGTCACAGCCTGACCAGGAGCAACTCTCATCACGCGAGGAGTGATACCCTTGTAGAAAGCGCGCGCACCCTCCTGCTTGAACATGTCCTTGGCAATGACCATGATTCTGCTGACGGCGGACTGACCAGGTTCAGCGCGGGTCTTCTGGAGTCTGGTCTTGATGGTGTCAATGGGGGCGTTCGAGAAAGGACCGACGGCACCGGAGATCAATCCGATGAGCGTTGTCTGATATGAGGGAAGCTGTGAGTTGCTGTACTCGGGCTGGACTCTTTGAAGGAAGGCCTTCAACTCGGTGTATGCGGTGAAGTTGGCAGCTTGATTGGTACCCTGGCGAAGAGCTGTCAGGGAGACACCGCGGTATAAAGTGCTGAATCCTTCTTCCCGGATCACGGTGAATAGTGCGTGTGGTGCGCTGCGGTACTTGGGGGTATCCAGAGGGTCCGCCAGACTGTGATGCTGCGCTTGTAAACGAATCTTAACGACTTCCATAGGGTTTACCACCGCGACGGCTTCGGTCACACCAGCAGCAAGACCAGCTGGTTCGAGATGTCAGTTCATACCCAGCTAAAGACACGCTGATCGAGGAAGGCATTGATCACGTACCGAGGAAGGTGGCCTTGCTGGTAACTGCACCAGTCTCCTTATCAGCGAGCATCTGCTTGTACCACTCATAGGAGGTGAAACGAATAGCCATCTTCGGGATGATACCGCCCAGAACAGCTCCCAGACCCTTGTACAATCCCAGGGCAGTCTCCTTCTTCACGATCTCGACACCGGTGGTGATAAATCCACGAGGCTTTGCCTGTCGAAGTAATGAATTATCAGTGACCGCACAACTGAGTAACCCTTGCGGCTTAACTTACTCCGGGGGCTCTAGCCCGTCGCGAGAGCTGCATTCTGACTTTAATGGTATCTGCGACATTGTTAGCCTGGCTTTCAGAACCCGATACCATTGGATTATAGCCATACCAAGAGGGTGGCAGACGAGAGCCTCCATCATACCGGCACCACCACCAGCTATGTCACATGTTAGCATCACCGCCAGCGAAATGTCCCCTCACCACGAAAAGCGTCATCGTACCGATCAAGTTCACAGCCGCGGAAGCGGGCTTATTGCCCTTGTTTCCCTCCACAGATTTGGCGGCCATGGCGATTGACTAGGTATGTGCAACGTGATTATGCGGTCTTTTCTTCCTTTTGTCAATTGAGGTACTAGCTTCCTTCTATAACGACGGCCAACTGCGGCGATTGTTCTCGGCGACTAAACGGGAAGAATGAGGAGGAATTGGAAGAGAGGGAGGAAAGGGGTAGAAAAGCAACGAAGTATGACTCAATTGGGCCCGATATAGAATTAAAAAGGCACAAGAAAGCGACGATATCGGATCTTCACAGGTGCGCAAGAAATCCGGGGAGTTACGGAAGTATGGAGTTCCCTCGGCTCAAATCTGAGCTGGTATTTTAGATTGCTGGGACACTCTGGGGTCACCCGCTTATTGAAATAAGACTGATCAATTTTCGGGAATGGGGAATCGCTCGATGTTTCGGGATCAGTGGCGGCTTTGTTACTTTGTTCTGTCTATTTTATTCTCCTCAGTCGGGGCCGTGGGGAAGCTATGACGGGGAAGCGGAGGAAGCTCTTCTGGACGAGCGGAAGAGATGCCGCCGCCCGCAATGTAGAACTGAAGGGTAACCGAAGCTGTAGAAGAATAGAGATAGTAGAACTGTGTTGTTGAATCGGAGATGTGTCTTGCGACTGACTTATATTTCTGAGCTTTGTCTAGCAATCTAAGTAGAGTTCGCTCGTTCCTACAGCGGTTATTGAAGGAGATCTACCGCGTTGTCTTTCATAGCATCATCCCGAGGCATCGGGACAAGGCCAAAGCTGTTGCCCAGTGTCCAGCGCCCAGAACCTGCCTTTACTCCGTAGTAGTCCCTTGGTAGTCCCTTAGATCACCTACACTAGGATTGCCAGATATGGCTTGAGTTCCTCCCAAGAGCAA